AAATTCATCAAAATCACAAAAATTGAAAAATTATTTTGAGTTGGAAATTCATAGAAAATTAATATTTATTTATATCTAAGCTTTGAATTTTTAATACAAGATGACCCTTAAGTTTTCCTAAATTTTACAAAAAACCGGAAAGTCAAATTAATTTTTTACAAGCTTTTAAAGCTGGGCATTGAATATTAGTCTGTAAATTAACAAGTTCTCATACAACGATTTTCTATTATATTGTCGTTATTCATAAACTCATAACCGTAATACTTGAAACTTTCATCAAATATTCATTTTATCATTTTCTATACATGATTTCTATACATTTAATCTACGGTTATACCAATGCCTAATAGTAAAATAAATAAATTACTTTAATGACACAAATATCAGGTATAAGGTACCTATACTTAATTATATTATAGGCTGACAGACGCTTTCCGTCTTCTCTCAGAATCGTTTTCGTATACCTGCAATGATTTTATATCATTGAACTCAAATTTAATACCACCCATTACACTATTACAGTGGTCAGTGATCCACTTGTAATCTACTGTACAGCAGAGCGACACCCACTTACCCGCTGGTCACTTTAACTTTTGAGATTCTGAGTGGGGCGATGAATGTACATTCTACCTATTGATTTTACAATGATTTGTGTTTTTTTATTTTTATTTTTTTATTTGTGTCTATGTTAACAGTTAACACTAAATGATAAGTAGTCGTATAAATGCTTCGATTTTTAACTTCTGCAGTATGTTGTTTGATGGGAAAGTGAATCTAGTTGGTGAGGTCAACATTTAAAATGGAAAGTCAAATTAATTTTGTACAAGCTTTTAAAGCTGGGCATTGGATAAAATAACAAATTCTCATACAACGATTTTCTTATATTGTGATTATATAAAAACTTATAACTGTAATACTTGAAACTTTCATCAAATATTTATTTTATCATTTTCTATACATGATACAATTTTCAAAATATTTATAAACGTTTTTAATTTTCAATTTTTTTTTTGCTTTTTATATAAAAAATGTATGTAAATAACATATTATTCGTTTTATCAAAAACTGAATACAAGGTTCCTCATAAGTAGACAAGTAGTTATAAAAGCAGTTGAGATATATTAAAGATCCATAGGCGCATATAATACTATAAGTAAAAGAGCCAGGAAAAACCAAAAAAGTTTAAGGAAAACGTTAATTTTCACGCAAAATCGGTTTTCGACAAAATCGAATAATTTGAATTATAACAATTTTTAAATACTCTTTTTAACATGCCATTTTTATGAATTTGGGGGATAATATCAAAAATGTGGGGAAGTCAATTTCAAGTAGACTTGAAGACAAATTCAAATCTGTTTTCAGAATTCTTATCACTTGGTTAGATCAATTGGCATGTTTGGCAAAAATCAAGTCTAAAATACTATGTCACTCGTATGTTAGACAAAAACAGAAAATCACGGTATCGAACCCCCTTAAACCGATACCTATTATTCTTTTGTTAGTTTTGGAAACTGCTCCTCTTCCGATCCGGCGATCCCTATACATGTATATTGTATATAGAGCGCGCATGGTGGTTTTTTTTCGATATTTACACCAAAATACCAAAATATTAAATATATAACAATAATAATAATAATATACAACACCTCGGCGTCGTATTTTAAAGGCAAGTTTATAATACGGTACATGAACTAGTACCTAGGTAATAGGTAGGTATAGGTACAAATTACGATTCAATAGGTAGTAATATTAAAAAAAAAAAATTATAATGTAGTATACCTACACTTTAATAATGCTTTTAACAACTCGTACACACTGGTACCTACTAACATATTCAGACAATACCATATATTTATAATCAATTAATATTAATATGTAAAAAATTATAACGTACCTATTTATAGGCAATGTGTTCATCGCGGCATACGTTATTTGGATATGTGTATCTTTAGAATAGGAATTTAAATATGTAATGTATACACGAATATAATAACAATAAGAACGAAAATAGAAATATCGATATAGTCCAAGTTCTATAATGGCTTTCCAATATAAATGTACATTGATACTAGGTATATCGCTTCAGCTAGTGATCGATAACATTGTGCTCACAAAATAATAGGTATTATATTATTCCATATTTATCAATAAATTACTTGTATGCGCCCGACAAAGGGGGTCAATCGGGTAGATAATTTGAAAGCATGCATCAAATAAACTTGATAGAAAACATTTTAAAATGTTTTAAGTTAATAATTATCCTAATTTTTTTAACTTAGTGAAATTAAAAGTTACATGGAAACTTACAATTAATTTACTAACTTAAATTAAATTATTTTTTTTTTAATATATTAAGTATAGTATAGCATAGTCAGTAATATGGTTTACAATTTTTAAAAGTAAATGGTTTTACAATAGGTATGTATCATCGATAATAATTTTATTATACATAATATTAAATTACAAATAAATTAACTTGGATTTGATTAAAAACAACTCGTTATTTATTAAGTTCATAACAATAAAAATCAGTCAAGTTAAAAATTAAGTTACATAATGAAAATTAAATTTAAAAAAGTTAAAATTAACTTCGGTAACTTTAACTATTTAGCTTGTTTATGCCCCGGATAGTTTATATATGGTTTATGAAATAGGTTTAGAATATGCATTACATATACTATCATAATTAATAGCCAATAAGTACCTAAAAATATGTAAAGTATAATAGTAGTATAGTACATATAATAGTCAAGTTCAATTACCAATATGTCATAAAAATATAGATGTAGGTAATATGTCAACAGACGGGCCAACTTTGGAAACGTTATATGTAACTACCTTGTAACATTTTTTTTTTTTTAGTTGAGATTTGATTTATTAATTTCTGTTGCGTTTGAACCATACAAATTATTCCTTCTATAGGTTTTTTTTTATTTTCTGTTTCCGTGTTGTACTGAATATCGAAAAAATGAGGCATTCGTGTATTTCTTATGAAAACCCTATATAAATTCACTTAAAACAACTTGGGTCACTATGTTAAATTTTCAAAAAATAATAAAGGTTTATATATTTTATATATTAACTATTAATATTAACAAATAGATTTTGTAACTGGTTTTTATATAATATATTAACAAAAATAATTATTGGTTCATTTGCTTTAGAGTTACGGCAAAAACTAAAAATGATTTTGTCAAAAACCGATTTTGCGTATAAGCTTCCGTTTTTCCTTAATTTTTAAGTTATTTTTAACGGTGGTTTTGAAAACTATTGGGAATTTTAAATTTTGACTTCCCGAATGCACCAACTAGATTCACTGTCCCACCGAACAAGATACAGTCGAAGAAAATTGAAACAGTTTTACTGCCCAAACAGTGGTGACTCAAAATAGGTACTTAAGTTTAATAAATTAAATAATGGCATATACGGTGAATTTTTTTCTCTATAATATATAAACAAACTAAAAAATTAAAAATTAAAAACATGCACAAAAAGCTCAAATGACGAGTCAAAATATTAAATGTTATCAAGTATAGGAATTGATAAAATAAACATATTATGATATAAATTTCAAATGTCTACAGTTATTCGTTTTTTGATTACAACAACTCTCATAAAAATTTAATTTGACATTCTTATAGACATTTTCTGTTTGTTAAAGCTAGATAACTTTATAATAATTCTTGTATTAAATTTTAAAATGTTAGATTTAAAATTAAAATTCTTTATGAATTTCTAACCCAAAATTATTTGCATATTTTCGTGTTTTTAGGCCTTAAGTCAAAATTTAAACTCTAAATGATTATAAAAAAAAAATGGGACTGTATAATATTTAATATTTTTCAAATGTCATAGTAACAATAATTAATAAATAATAATATATTAAGCCTTGTATTAAATTTAAGTTAAGTAGTTTTCTAGTGCGTTGCAACCCATTGTACTCTTAATTTTTGCATGATATAATATAAGATATATTATGTGTATTATACCTGGCTTGCAGAGTCACATAGACCTGTCTAAGGACTTAGCTACAGTAGGCACTGTTTAGATGACACAAAGTATAATTAAATATTCAAAATACGTAAATCGAAATAATAGAGTCACTGAGACGACTCTAGAATCAAATGATAAGTATAGGTAATGATTTCACGATAGTGAAACAATAGTTAATTTTATCATTGACTTTACAGGTCTTAATTAAACAAAACCTTTTCTACCCAACAAATAAAATTGTATTGAAATTCATAGAAAAAAAAAACTAAAAAAATTGGAAACTGAAAATGTCCATAAACAGTTCAAAACAAATCAAAATATGCTGACAATTTTAAAATAATAATTTATTTATATTTTAAACGGAGTGGGCCCATTTTTTTGTTAACTCAAATATATGTGCATAATAAGTATGTTTTTGTTTTTCGGAAATTGTTAATTTTGAAAAAAAAATGAAAATAATATTATTATGTATGTTTTGCTATAATATTATACAAACTGATTGAATTTAAAATGAATTATTTCCTGGAAAAATTTCGTATTGGGAAATAATTATATGGTTACAACTTAGCAGCAGGGCCAGCTCAGGTATAAAGAGGCACTTTAGTAGGGGGTGGCATTTTCAAAACAGTGATATTATTATTTTTTTAGGTTCGGAAAAATTTGATTTTGCCTAGTCCAAATTCTGGAAATTGGTAATATACAATTATTATTATTAGGTATTTAAATTGGTCTTTATTATATACTAAAATATACCGGTATTTTATTTTTTAGGAATATTACAGAACTGCAAAGAGAGGCAAAATTTACAACAAATTTTATAATCTCGCAACAGCATTTAAAGTGGTATCAGGACATCTGGGACACTAGGCAGAGAAAATATCTTCTGTTAATTCAGATAAATTCAGCAGACATTAAAAAATTTCGGTAAAATATCATTATTTATTAATTATTACCTATACTTATAGACTATATTGTAAATAAATAATATTATTTTTCAGAGCCAGAAAATGATGCTGAAAGTTGTATTAAAGCACTCAAGTTCATTTGAATTTTATTGTACTTGGAAGGCTTGTTGTAATTCACGAATGCAATATATTAAAAGCAATACCACTAAAGAAATTTTGGGAAAATGGCCATTTTACAAACAACCAAGTGGTTATCGACTGGTAAAGGTTTTTTTTTTAACACTATAGTTTTTTTTTTATTTAATTAAGTTTATACTTTTTCAGATTGACATGGACTTTGAAGCATCATTTACTCCACAGGATACATTACTAGAAAAATGGGAAGCATGTTTTAATGACATTTTATCTTTTCTATCTAAAGATAACCATGTCAAAGATAAAAATGTGAAAAAAATCATTGAGAAATTATCGACTGATGTTGGCATATCAGAGAGTAAGCTAAGATTATCTTTTTTTTTAACATTATTTAGTTTTTTGCTATTTCTATTTCTATTGTTTTAGATGGAGATCATGCTGCTTTGATATGGGCACTCCACGGTTACTTTGTCCCTGCAAATAAAATGGGTAGAACACGATTCCGCACGTTCATTGTTCTATATTACCTTTTTTTTCTACCCAAATCCGTATTGTATTCGAATGCGACGTTGCCATGTAACGAATGCGATTCCGCACGTTTATTCTTGTAACATGAGATTGATACATATTATCATATTATCATATTGATCATATTATTTAGGGACCTGAACTTTTCCATATTTACTACGACATTTCAAGTTCAAACTAATTGAAAATAAGATAAGTCGGGTCTTTTGATAAAGTCGATAAAGATAACAATATACATTAAATTACAAGTGTTCTATACTTCTATATGTCAACCAGCGTTCAGCATAATTTACCGAGCATCCGAGTCTATATGATTTGATTAATATTTGTTATGCGACCTAACATTATAACGATAATCTCGTAATGACGAGATTATTTTGATAAATTACCCATAATATAGTTGTTGGTTGGTGTTGTCAGTATGGCGATGGTAAAGTATACTATAGTCTAGTCAGAACTGTCTGGTTAAAACGCAGCGCGTGTGTACGAATTTTTTACAGTGTTATAATTTATATGGATAGGCATGGATAATCAATTAGAGATAATAAAATCTGAAAAGGGCAACGATTTAGCGTTGGTAAATACATGTAAATATCGGCTCACTAGGTATAGATATTTACTAGAGATAACTATTTTTATTATATATTTTTTACAATAATTATTAAATTTTTTTTTATAATATTATTTATAATATTATTATACATTTTTTATAATAAACCGTTTGTAATAAATTTGACAACGTTGCAATCAATTCCTATTGTATTCCTATGAACAATAAAGTGTGCGGAATCGTGTTCAAAAAAAAAAAAAACGTGCGGAATCGTATTCCTCCCAATAAAATAGTCCGAATCGATCCCAAGACATCCAAGAAGACATTTATAAAATTTACCATCAAAGATTCACAAGAATCTGTAGTTTTTGTTGGTGAAACTCAACAAAATATTGAAGACTACATAGACCATGTCAGAAAAACCAAAACTTCTCTACAGCCTTCACTTTTCTGTGTAGGTGAAGATATTTATTTTTCTCCATCACAGATATATTTCTTTTTTCCGATGGAGTGGGTTACAACTTTAAAAGTGTCTTAAAAGCCTTGGATATTTGTTTTAAAACTATGTATCTTTTTGATTTACGATTCCACGAAGAATCAATTATGTTTTACACATTTTTAGAATATATTTTTTATAATTTTAAAAGCACAAACAGTTTCTCAAAGGTTCATATTCTTTTAGAATATTTACAAAATATGAATTCTCATTAATTTTAATCATGCATAGTTTACTTATCTTAATGATAATACATGTCTTAAATTTCAAATTGTATAAACATAAAAGTGATTGGAATTTAATTATCTATTTTTATTTCATTAAAATGATCCTGTATTATCTCTGTATTCTAAACTTAGTTTAGTTAGTAGTAACCTAACCTTTATTTATGTAAGTATTAAAGAATAACAATATAGTACCTACCTATGTAATAACTTTTTTTTTAATTATTTACTACCGAGTGATTGTGGTTTATATATTATATAAATAATATATTCAATAAGAATATAGTATATTATATTACATATATCAAATTTATACTATATACTGTTTTATTATAATTATATTTTATTTTGCTTTAAGCTTTTAAAGTAAAGAATCTTACATAATATGTCTGTTATTACCAATTTGTAACATTAACTTGTATTATTATTATTATTATTATTATTATTATTATTATTATTATCCTCTATTAGCTAGGTACCTACACTGTATTATTAACTTGGTTTAGTTTGTCAACATTTATTTATGCAATTAAGAATAGCATTATGTAATAACTTTTTTTTAATTATTTACTATTGAGTGATTGTGATTTATATAATATATTATAATAAATTGTTTCATCTTAATAATAATCTTATATTTTCCTTTAAGCTTTTAAAGTTAAGAATTTGTAAAGGTTTGTTATTACCAATTTGTAACATTACTAAATTTATTTTATAGTGAAATTTATTATACATTTATTACAAATATATTTGTATGATCAATGTTTTGAATTTATTAATAAAATAAATATAATTTTTGCACATAAATATTGCATTCATTAATTCAAAACATATACCTATTTTGAGTCAATAACAACTATTTTTTGATATAATTATCTGATTATCTGTATAACTGAATCAAGAATTCATATACATTAATAAGTAAACAATAAGACTTTACCAATATAATAAATTAAATTTTTTATAAAATAATTTGCAAGCATAAAGTTTAAAATTATGATTTTTAGATCAATAAATAGTATAACTGAATTACAAATAATAAGACTTCACCAATATAATAATAATATTATATATTATTAATCTAATAAACTCAAAATGAGTCAAATTATTTTCTAAATTGTATAATGTATAAGAAATGCTAATATAAACATTCAGTGAAATTTTCACTGAATCTACAGTCATTTGTTTTTTAATTACAACAAAGTAAGAAAATCGTGATATGAGAAATCGTCTCAATATCAAATGTTTTAAAAATATAAATTTCAAACGCTCATAAAAATTTAATTTGACTTTCTTCTTGAAATTTTTTTTTTGATAAATTTAGACAAACTTATGAGAAATCTTGTATTACATTTTAAAATCTTAGATTTAAAAAGAAAATTTTTTATGAATTTCTAACTCAAAATAATTTGAAAATTTTCGTCATTTTTACGTATTTTGTCAATATTTAAACTTTAAATGCTTATAAAAAAAATTGTGACTATTTATTTTATATATTTTTCAACTGTCATTGTAACAATATATTATAGGATCCTTGTACTAATTTTGCAAGTTTTTTGAACCAACAAATACAATTTTATAGACATTTATAGAAAAAAAAACTAAAAACATTGGAAACTGAAAACAATTACGTAAACAAATCAAAATATTTTGAAAATTTTATCGTGTATAGAAAATAAAATATATAATAAATATAAAAATAATAATAATAATAAAATAATAAAATGAATATAATCAATACATTCATCGTTTCACTCTGAATCTAAAAATAGTATTTAGACTAAATTGTATTAAAATCAGTCTTGTTCAAATGGAATGGACCTGTTTAAATGTATCATAGTTATATTTTAGACCATGGTTGAATAATAGTGGCAAAAGTTGAACTAAAATGAATTTACATGTAAAACGTAATTTACAGAAATGTATGCAGGATTATAATAATGTCTAATATAGAGTTGAAGATTTTACACACATCCAATTTTTTATTACATATCAATTTATATAAAAACATCTCATGCGATTAGTATTCGAGTAAGGTTTTCGGAAGTTAGCAAAACGATAGATATTAAACATATTATGAATTAATAACAATTAATAGTTACGTTTAAGATTTGATGCTGCGACACTACCTACCAAAGTGATGAGTAATAAGTGTTAATACATGACTAGGACCATTATGGAGGTGAAACTGTAAGATAATATTTTTGCACCAAGTTGGCCCATTCGACCTATAATTTATAGTACCTATACTGTAATGCTGTGTAGCTGGTACTTGGTAGGTAGGTAAGTATAAAATATTATTTTAACATAGTATCACACTCGACAAGCGACTGAATAAGGTAATTACCTAATAAGTGATGTTCACAAATGCCTACCTACCTATTAAGCACCTAATTGAGTAGGTATATTAAAATGGGATAATATTCATAATATTTTACTATTTTATGGCAATTTTACTTTTTGTTTAATTTTGTAAGTTTTCGTGATTTTTCAGTATTTTGTCAAAATTTGAACATTAAATGATTATAAAAAAAACTAAGGATTTTAAACCAATGTGATTTTAAATATTGTTAACATAACAACATGAAATTTGTTTCACATTACCTAATTAATTGACAAGAGACCGTTATGGAGGTGAAACTATAAGTAGTATAAGATAATATTTTTTCCCAAGTTGGCCCATTTATTTATTTAATGACGTACTTCGTGTACTTCGAGTCCTCGTTGTTGGTCTTAATGAAGGAAGTTGATTACCTATATTGGCTATATAGGTGTATAAAGTTAGTAAAAGTAAAAGCTGGTTCAAAATGTTAACAGTAATAATGTTTATTAAATTATTGAAAATAATATAAGTGTATTCTAATAAACTTTAAATTTGAAGACATAGTTACCTCAGTGCCCGAGAATCACCTGCAATAAGCAAAGTAAAAAGTAATTCTAATTTCTTAGTTGCTAGATTTGATATTTTATACATCTATCAATTGGTGGCGTGATCCGAATAGAGCCACCGGATTGGTCTATGAAAATACATGAAAATATTAATAAAATAATAATCTATGAAAATACATGCGTCGGAGTTGGTTTAGCCGGAATTTTAATTATGTTGTTTTCTACAAAAAACGTATTTTATAATCAACAGTTTAAAGGACAAGGAGAACTCAAAGTCATGGAGTACGTAATAAATAGAGTAAACCGAAATAAATGAGAATACTGTTTACTACACTGGTACTTACTGTAATACTGTGTAACAGGTAAGGTAGGTACATAATATTATTATTTTAACCGTGTATAATCACATTCCACACGTGACTGAATATTGAGTGCCAAAATAAAATATTGTTTATCGAAATTTTCTTTTAAGACGAATGATAAACGTATAAATAATAAAGTGGGCAAGTGGGTACAGCTTTACTGACTTATGAACCTACTATAATTATGAACCTACTATAATTATGTACTTACCTATATTATTATAATTAATTAATTACCTACATCGAATACGCAAAATTAAATTGCATATATTTAATTGTGATGACTTGAAACAGATTTTATATTACCCATCATTGTCAGCATTGTATACGGAATAGCAACATTTATGTGTAAATATAAATTACCTACTAAAAATATTTAATATATGAAATAAAAAGAAATACCATGTTGCAAGTACCTAGGTAGGTATTTGAAAATTAGTGGGTAGGTAGGTAATAAGTGATCATCTCGAGTGCCGGAGTGACTGATTAGGTACCTACCTATTTAATTAGTTAAAAATTTGATGCTGTTACACTACCTAGTACTTACCAAAGTGATAAGTAATAACTAATAAGTGTTAAGATAATATGAAAAAAAAACAGTAATGGAGATGAAACTATAAGATTATATTTTTGCCCAGAGTTGGCCCATTCGAAATATAATAGTATTTATACTGTAATGCTGTGTAGCTGGTACTTGGAAGGTAGTTAAGTATAAAATATTATTTTAACCGTGTATCACACTCCACATGTGACTGAATATAGAGTGCCAAAATAAAATATCGTTTATCGAAATTTTCTTTTAAGACGAATGATAAACGTATAAATAATAAAGTGGGCAAGTGGGTACAGCTTTACTGACTTATGGACCTACTGTAAATATGTACCTACCTTATACCTATATTGTAATTAATTAATTACCTACATCGAATACGCAAAATTAAATTGCATATATTTAATTGTGATGACTCGAAACAGATTTTATATTACCCATCATTGTCAGCATTGTATACGGAATAGCAACATTTATGTGTAAATATAGTTACCTACTAAAAATATTTAATATATGAAATAAAAAGAAATACCATGTTGCAAGTACCTAGGTAGGTATTTGAAAATTAGTGGGTAGGTAGGTAATAAGTGATCATCTCGAGTGCCGGAATGTCTACTTAGGTACCTACCTATTGAATTAGTTAAAAATTTGATGCTGCTATACTACCTAGTACTTACCAAAGTGATAAGTAATAACTAATGAGTGTTAAGATAATATGAAAAAAAAAACAGTTATGGAGGTGAAACCATAAGATTATATTTTTGCCCAGAGTTGGCCCATTCGAAATATAATAGTACTTATACCGTAATGCTGTGTAGCTGTGCAGCTAGTATAATATTCATACGAATGTGTTTTGTTCTTTGTTATTTATTATTACGTTTCTCGTGTAATGTTGATTAATAGAAATGGTTTCAATGAAATAATATCGTTCTTGTCTATTTATATAAAGATAAATAATATTGTTATTACGTAATAGTGTAACATTTCCATGTTCAGTTTGAATTGAAGTAAAAAAGTAGGTAGACAGAAATAAATCATTGTTTAACAATTAAATAAGGAATTGCATAGAAAAATGTTGTTTATTAAAATGAATGGTCATAAAATAGTAAAATACTAAAAGAATTTGTCTAAAATAATTAAGAAATATATTTATTTTTTGCGCATTTTAAACAAAAAATAAAAATATCTATTATGATATCTAGATAAAAAAATATGTAGGTATCTTTATCTTAATCTAGATAAAAGTAAAAATGATCATCTGAATCTAAATATAGATAATTGTTTACGAAATTATCTTTATCTTATCTAGATATTATTTTTGTTATCTGGGCTCAACACTGGTGGTAGTACACGTCTGAAAACAGGCCTATTCGGGCTCCCTTGTACCTATATGAAGTTCCCCGTGCCCCTCGCCTACAGATACGGTATCTTCGTTCTCACGGATGTCATTTGTGTGGTCATCATTCTAGCCCACGCATTACGATTGAATGTATTACTAATTAATGATTAGTCATTTTACATACTCTTTAATATTTTAATTTCATCGTATGCGTCCAGTATTCCTGTCAAATATGACAACCGCCTATTTTGACCCTATTTTCCTTAATATCTGGTTATGCCGACCTATTATATATTATAATGACTTATATACACTCGTGATTTATGATTTGTTGTCACGTAGTAACTTGCTTACTACAATAATATGGATATTGCATGCGTATACCTATCACGTGTTCGGGCTGTACCATTAATTAGTTCTGTAGGTACTCTTATCGATATGGCCGCCCGGATGCTGATATTATTACTATTACCGGGGTTCCTTGCTCCCTGCAGCATTTATGTCTATTATTGAATATAATATATATATATTATAATCGTATTTTACTCAATACAATATTATAATATAATATATTATTACTATTATTAATATATACGTAGTCACAGCTCGTTACAGTAGGTAGGTACCTAAGTATAAAATATTATTTTAACATCGTATCACACTCGACAAGCGACTGAATAAGGTAATTAACTAATAAGTGATGTTAACAAATGCCTACCTACATATTAGGCACCTAATTGATTACCGTAAAATGGGATAACTTTGATAATTTTTTACTGTTTTATGACAATTTTACTTTTTTTTTTTTATGGATAATTTACGTAGTATTAACGATACGGCGTCCTTGGAGGTAGAACGAACAGAATTCCTACTGTTGGGGACCATTTGGTAATTTGTAACTATGTACGATGTGTCGATCGAACGAACAAAAGTACTCTTCACTGATTTATAATCAAAGACCGTGATTACAGAATACAGGAGTTCGTTGCACTAGTCGGTTGTCTTTTGTTTACGTCGTAGTTTAGGTTATAAAGAATATTATAATAATTTGTTTACCGTGTGTGTTTGTCTGGTTAAATAATAATTAGGCGCTTTTCAAACGTTCATTTTCAATAATACAAATAATACCCATCTCATCAAATCTGTGACTGTGAAATCAGAAAGTTGTGGTATTCTGGGTTTCATTCATGTGCTTTGTACAGTACTCGGCAAGATTGCAGTAGACTTATTATGTATGAATTAAACTTAAAGCATACTATATGTTTAAAAAATATAAATATGACAAGTGATATCTAACCACCCAACTATTCTACAGATGACTGGATTAACCACCACGAGAAAACTTACACCTCAAAACACAATTATCGGTCTATAGGATACCGGAATACAGGTGTCGTGTTCATTCCAAGACTGAGTGATCGAGGCTACTTACGTCCATTGATCGAGTTCCCTTTTCTCAGTTCCCACTGCGTACAATACAGATAACCATCTACTGATAAGGCTAACTTCAATATTGCATAAAAATGCATAAGTGTATAGCGTGTGGCAATAAATCTAATACCACCAAAGTCAATCGTCCAGGAGTAATGTATCACGGGTGAGTACTAATTGGTTCTAGAAATTTACTCGCTCAAACTGTTTTGAAAAAAAAAAATTTGCATTTTATTGTATTTATTAATATTTGTTTTAATATAGAATACCCAAGAACGCATACATGAGAAGAAAATGGCTAAAAGTTTTTGGAATTGATCGTTGTCATGATTGGCAACGGATATGTAGTGATCATTTTTTAGAAGAAAACTATAAGCCAGGAAAAAAGCGATTTTTATTTTCAAATGCTATTCCCCAACCTTATGATCCAAATGGTTTTCCTTCTAAGTAATACTTTTGGTTCTCTATAATTTAATTTTTCATTTTCAATAATATTTTTATTTTTTTATAGTGATGCTACTCAAAGTAATGATATTGAAATTGAGAATAATGTAATTTTACCAATTGAACAAAATATGCCGGTCAGTAAATAAGTATTATTATTTTTAATAAACATTGTCAATACAGTATGATATCTTTATCTTTTTTATGATTTTCCATGCTTTTCTCATTGAATATGTATGACCTTGGTTTCTCTTCTTTAGTAATTTAGTGCTTCTAATTATACATCAGTATTATTCTTGTCCACTTATATTTATAAAATAGTTAGTAGTTTGACCACCAATGTGTGTACTCTTTTTGTACAACTCTCGGGATATATTTTTTAGTTACTAATAATGTATTGTTAGGAAAAATCTAGTGTAATGAATCGGCGATCTGTGTGATTCATTTAAGCATTTAGCTAAAGTGTCAAGGTCTTTGGTGAAAAGAAAACCAATCCTACTATTTTTCTGAATTTCCAACAAAAACGCATTAACTGCATCTTATTGTACAGAACGTCTTTGGTTGATTTATGCTAGTATAAGTTTTGTTTTTAATCCAAAATAATAGTAAACAAGTTTGAGAAAAAAAATTTGTAAAATTGAGTCACAAAAGTTTTTGTCGATATATAGATAACACAATTCTTCCCTTTCATTATACGTGACAGTATAAATTTCCATTTTAAAATAGCAACTGAAATTTTTTGATATAGTTTAATGTGTACATAAAATAAACCAATATTTTGTAAAATATAAAATCAAAATGGTCAACCATTAACGCCCAAATAAAGCTGTATTTATATTTACTGCAAGGAAATAATCATCTTGTATACTGTTCATTGTATCATAATATACGAATAAATATGTACACAAAACTTGTTTTCATCATATACTGTACAGCCAACGAGATACTGAGAATCATTGATTGTAAATATCAATAATTGTTCTTAACTTCCACTTGAACAATATTGCAATGTTTGGGAAAGATTAGCTAGGTCATCAAGTGTTCTATAGTAGTAACTAGTATACTGATTCTATGTTATTCACAACCAGTACTCTGTAGTTCATTATTTTGGTTACAAAGAAATGGAAGGATAAAAAATAGTCTTTAGACTATCCTAAATATATAGACTAAGCAAACTAGACTATTGAATGTTATATCACTAAAATATGTATTTAGCTCATATCATATTTTAATTTGTACTTTATAATTGCAACGTAGCTGTTTCTAATATTAATATGAATTATGTATTTATATTTTAAAGGACCTTACCTTAGGATCTGGATTACAATGTTCCGTTAAAAACTGCTTCAACAGGTTTTCAAAGAATCTTAGTCTCTTTGGCTATCCTATGGATTTCACGCTGAGAAAAAAGTGGATAGAAAAATGCGGTTTAAAAATAGATCCCTCTAAAATAGTAATGAGTAGTACAAGAGTTTGTGCTACTCATTTTGAAATCGATTGTTTCAAAAATACTGAATTAAAGAACAGATTAAAACCAGGCGCTGTTCCATCATTATTTTTAGATAACGGTAAGAAAAAAATTATTATTTGTTGTTTTATTTTGTATTAACTATTAATTAGCATTCTATTTTTATTGTCATTTTATTGCAATTGCAATATGTAATTATTGATTAAAACGTTTTGATTTTAATTAATTTCATATTAATTTTCAAAAGTATCCTTTATGACCTCGGAATTTATAAAACTTACATATTTTTGTTGGATAAACATGCTTAAAATAGTGATTTTTCCTTTTAAATCAGTTAATCCTAGATAATGACTTGGGAATGTCCTTTTAAATAATCTTTCTTTTTTATAGTAAAATTGTATTTAAAATCTTATAATAATTTAAAATTAAAATTCTTTTTTCGAATCATTAGTCCCTAATGCATTGCCTGTGCCAGTATTGAGTACATGTGAAGATCAATTCATACGTTATGAAGCTGCTGAACAGACGTCAGAAGAAAAACAAAACAATGTAAAAGGTACTATGTAAAAAATTCTTACTAAAATACATTTTGACATGTAATTTAAATCCAACATTAAAACCAAATACTGAAAAAATTAATAACTTTTCAGATAACACTTCCATGACAATTGACCTTACAACTGATGATTCATCTAATGATTCGTTGTCCATTACTTTGGAACCAATTGAAAAAAGAACCTCACAATGTTGTATAAATAATATAAAATATGTTCCAATAATGGATGTTTGCAATACTGAAGATCTTACAATTGATGAACCTGAGTTTATTTTTGAAATGCCTATGAAAGTTGTACTTCCTAGCTTATATTGGAAGGGTGAACATCTTAATGCAAAAAATGCAACACGGTTTTATCAACGTGACACCAATGATGTAACTGTGAAGATAGTCCTTTTTTTTAATAACCTTTTGCCAACTATACAAATATATGGCAAGAAATATGAATATACAACGCCTATAAAAACAAAGAAAGAGTTAGAAGATCTTTTAGAAAAAGTAGATGGTATTGAAAAATGTCATGGTAGGGGTGGATTTGTCTTTGAACAATGTTTAGGCTATTTTGAAAATAGTTTAGTCAATATGTGTTCTGGCTGTGAAGGGTTGGTAAAAGATCAAGATTTGCAAAGAATGAAAGCAAAAATTGTAGCTAAAAACAAAATGATGGAAAGTTTTTACAACTGCGTGAGTTAACTGGAGGATCTTAAGTATTAAAATAAGACACTCGTTCTTTTATACCTACCTAAATATATTGAAATCCGATTTTGTTCAAGTAGTTTATGATTTATAATTAGAGCTCGTATTTGTGTGCACTTGCATATTTATTCTGATTTATCGTATGGTATGCTAAGGGGGCACAAAAGGTTTTCTAAGAGAATTAATTTTTTTCTTACTTTTTTCTTTACAAATTATTATTTACTGAGGCACATACCTAAATAAACTCCTTTTAGGAAACATTTTTTATGTTAAGAAGACTACACAGACATTTTGTTGTCTCTATCTTACAAGTGCGCTTAGAAGATAACGTTTAGCTCTATTAGTTTAAAAATTTGAGTAAATTTATTGATTATAAAGTTATGGTAAGAACATTATCTGTGTTCGTATGGTGTTTTTTTTTTACAATTATACAGTACTTAAACGAGTCTTGAGCATTTTTAATTTATCTTATATTATGTACGCATAATTTGTTTAAAAAAATTTAACTATCGTAAAATATGGCAAGAACATTATCTGTGTTTGTATGTTGGTTACATAGATAATGTTCTTACCATCAATTTTATAATAGGTCGATTCACTCTAATTGTTAAACTAATTGAGGTAAAAGTTATCTGCTGTGAGTAAATTTTTAATGTTACGCACTTGTTGGACGAAGACAACAAATGGCGGTGTGTCATCCTTTTAATTGATTCCTATTTTTCTTATAGATTAAAACTACCTACAATATATTCTAAAGACAATTATTAATAGTAGCGTTCCATAATTTTAAATTAAACATTCAGAAAATAAATGAATTTTTTAGTGCATATTTGAACATTTTAGTGCATAATATATATTAATATATTTATGCATTTTTAAGATTTTTTATAGCGTTTATAGTTGGTTATTGTGCGTTTTATTATATATTTATATATATTTATTTTATTATATTATTTTATATTCTATATATTCTATGCATACAAATCCGTGCTCCAGTTATAGGTATTTTTAACTTCAACGAATGAATGTAGAAATGTTCCAAATATTACAATGCTTATGCAATTCAAAATGTATGTTTTAATTCTAAAGGTTAAAAAAACCTAAAATAGCATATTGTAGAATACGATAAAAATATTATTTTGTAACGAGTGAATATTATGTAAACATTTTTTTTCAAAACATTAATTTTCTGAAAAACCGAGTGTCTTAAGTTAAATAGAAAACTCTGTATATTATTTACTTATTAAAATAGTTTATATTTTATTTTATAGTTTGCTGAAAAGAAACTACTTATATTACAACTAAGAAGAAAATTGGCAGAAATCAAAAGAAATCGTCGTCATAGATTCGCGTTAAATCCATCAGGAATTTCAAATATTATGTATTGTATTACACAATATTCATAATTTTTTAATTTTTTATTATGGGTTCAATCCGAAGTATATATTAAAATGAGAAGCATAGGAACAATAAAAGCAAGAAAACTATCTTTGATTCGAAAAAAATATATTTTGCAAATTCAATACAAATTCACAATATTTTATTAAAAAGTTTTTAATACATAGGATTTTTAAAAAGTATCAAAATAAAGTAATTAAAAAAGTTTTTGACCAATAAATTGTTAATGCCCAGCCTTGGGATTACTATACATTTACAGGTATACTTTTACATTTAGTGTTTTTTTTTTTTTTTTAATTATGTACATTTACTTTGTTTATACTATTTAATATTTTTAATAAAAATGTATCAGCTATCAAAATTACAACTTACTATATAATAATTATAATTATTCTTATTCTTATTATTCTATTAGAATTAATTGGATATTGTGTCTCTATTAATAATTAAAATGTCGGTATGAATTTAAATTATTTTTTTAATTTTAAAATTAACTTAAAACATAGAAAAAACTGTTTTAGTCGCGGGAAAGAACCGAGAAGGTTACATTAATTACTAAGAAACGAAATATTCACCACATGAAAAGGAGAAATTTGACTGTGAATATATCAGTTTTATTTTTCGATATCGGAACTACGAAAAAAGTTATTGGGATTTGAAAAACCCAGAAAATTATGGATTTTGAAACGATAAGAACTTTTTTTGTATAAGTGATATCAAATAAATAAAACGATATTTCACAGATAATGCTCTGAACTATATTGTATACCAATTTAAAGTTATAACTATCACTATACACCCAGATTGGTTGTAGTTCTATCCCGCTCAAAAAAGTTTTTGCTATGTTGTACGTTTGTAAGACGGAGACAACACATGCAGGTGCAGCGTCCACTTAAGTTCAATATTTTAATAGTACCTACACGTGCCATAGAATAGTAAAATATAAATGGTTGATGTAAGAAGTTCATCACCAAATCACCACAATGAATTACAATTACATTTTTAATAAGGCATTAATATTTAGTTACGATACCCTAATTCTATAAAATAAATACTAAAAAAAAAGTTGAAAATATGGTTAAATGCCTAAGGCCTAACTAAATATTATTTCAGCCCTTAAAAAAAATATATAGAACATTAACATTTTTCGTTTAATATAAACTAAATGCCTTTAAAAGATCTTATTGTAATACGTTATTAGGTACTGTAGAGTTACAGTGTAGACAATTGCAAGAATACATTGAAAAACTAGTAGATAATTTGCAAAAGCCATTTTTTCATCACATAATTATTTAAAAAATTATCATATTGAATACATAGAATAGGCTAGAAATATTTGACTACATTTTGGTCCTTTTTTCACTACTATATGGCTTTGTTGAATCGTGTATGATGTACAGGTTATGTGGGTTTTAGATGGTCACAAACCTTTGATAGCCTAAATTGTCTTCTTTTGTATTTAAATTGTATACAATTTTTAAAATTGTATTTATTTTTTATCATACAAATGTAATTATTACTATTGAGTAGGATGGAAAAAACTAACAAAATAAGAACTTTTATTCTGATTTACAAATTACTTAATTATAAAAATTCAATAATTTTAAATGAGTGTTTTATTTTTTAATACATTTTATGAACATTCTGTATACGCCACTGATATGACAAATCATTTATTGCTATAAAAATAATTACAATTTAATTTCTAAACACATTACTTACAAAAACACAACATAATATAATTATATTGCACATTCATGACGCAGTATAATCTACAATATTGACTTATAATATATAACAATATTTAAGAAAGTTATAAAATTATAAAAAAAAAATGTATGTTGATGATATTATTGTGAATAAATTAATTTATATATTATAATATTGTCCATGGACCCTTGTTTTAAATTGTCAATCCTGAGATATAAAAATTTAACATTTTATAAATTATTTACTACAAAACAATTATTAAATTTAAAATTTGATAAATGTTGTCAATATTCAAACTTTAATTGATTATAGAAAAAAATGAGGCCACGTATTTTTAATATTTTTAAACTTCTATTGTAACAATATATTAGGAGCCTTGTTTTAAATTTTCATGTATTTTTACAGAACAATTAAAATTTTATTGACAATTATGGACAAAAAAACTAGAAATCAGAATAGTTACACAATTTAACTATTAGGTACATTCAATTATTCAAACATTTTAATTAGGTAGGTACCAATATTTTAAATTCAGTGTTGTATATACATGAGCGTGTATGTATGTACGTGTGTATGTACTATGTAGGTATATACAAATAGGCGGAGATCTTATGAAATATTGTGGGGGGGGGCTTAAATATTTGATGACAAACAGACCTGTAGGGGTGTTGCCCCACACCAACAACAAACTAATTTTTACATTAAATCACTCATAAAAAATTGTTCTCGTTATCATAACTTAAATAATTACAAACATTAAAAAAAGAATAATTAATAAAACACAATTACCATTTTTAACTTAATTTTATTATTCTATTACATTTTTTGTTATAAATATTTAAAATAGCTTCATTACTTAAAGCTTTAGTCTTATCTATTTTCAATATATAATATTGAAAGTTCATTAAATTTTTTTTCTTAGCCAGTTTTTTATTTTCCTAGTAGCAGAAAAATTTCTTTTGCACTTAGCAGAGCTAATAGGTAGTGTTAAAGCAATTTGTATCATTTTATAAAAATTAGGAAATACTTAAGGTGGAATTTTCTTTTTAATATATTCAATATCGCTTCCATCAGGTTCAACTAGATAGTTCTTTGCAACCATCATTTCCGACCTTAGACTTTGTTGGCATATATTTAAACCCGATAAATCCTAAAAAAATAATTATTATATTTATAATTTTATATTACATTAAATTATTAACTACAGAATATTTATTAAATAATTAGATAGTCCTATAATAGCCCACTATCTCAGTCTGTTAATTATCGCTTCTCAATAAATAACAAAAATTAAAAAAGAAATAATATTTTTACCAACTATAAATAGAACGGTATAATATGTTATACAATATTGATGGCCAATTGGTACAAAATATGTACAGTATTAGGTATATAAACACAATATAATATTATTGTGAATTGTGACTTAATTTTTCGGTATGTTACCGTAAATAATAAATTGGTAAATAGTATGTATGTAAATATGTAATGTACTAGGTACACTTATATAATTATGGATATAAGAATATAAAATAATGAAAAAAATTCGGTAAACGGTACAAAATTACGATATTGTTTGTTTAATATTTTTAGGGGGGCTTTAAATTCAAATTATTTATTTTGGATGGGCTAAAACAAATTGAACTGATGGTTAACTATTCTACTTCAGACTTCACCCTGCTTCAACTAATACTCTAAAAGTCTGGATAATGATAAGATAATGTTTTTTTTAGAAGTTGTTAGTTGTTGTATCAAGAATCGTTAAACAAAAAATGTGTTGCAGTGAAGAACTAATGGGTACATATATATAATAAATGATAATATTTTATTATTTTGTAACTATCTAATGGTAAATTAACTAATATTTTTATTTTAATGTAGGATAATGAAAAGTATTTACTATTGAGTAAAATATTGAAATCAAAATTATAGATCCCCGTTTTATTCTAAGATGATAACAATAATTATAATTGCCTTTAGTTAAAAAGAAAAAAAATGTTCATTTTAGAATAAAGTATAAGATTTTTAGTTATTCAATAGACAATAATAATTGTCTCTACGATAAAAACTAGAGTGATTTTAAATCAAATTAACTGGCCATGTATAAATATTAAAATTAGGGCAGGGATTTATATTTAATATATAACCAAAAATATGTGCATATTATAATATATATATTTATAGTCAAAATTAACAAAATATCTATGTAATAAAAATTCAAAACACATACTAAAAAATGAAAAAATTTTAATCATTGATAAGTGCATTTAAAATGTGTGTACAATAATTATTTAACATTTAAGTAAAGACACTATACAGTAAAAGTTATGCATTTTCATACAGTTAAGTATATTTTGTAACGGAGTGCACACGAAAATTGTAGCTTAATATAGATTGATATTTCACTATGAGAAAATATGTGACTAAAACAGTATACAATTCATGGTCATACCTAATAATTATGAACTTATAAAAATATGTTTAAAATATGTAATAATATTATATATTTATAAAAAAAAATGTAATATAATTTATGAATAGATTTTTTTTTTTAATCAACTAGGTGAGGTAATGAGTTTTTTTTTATTTTAGTTACTCATATATCAGTTATAGCGGGATAGCCTAATTGTCTCTAAATATTGTACTTCAATTTTTATTTCACACATTGGTACCTCGTACCTACCACATAATATATTTATTATGAAAGTATTTTGTCTTTTTGTTTTCACCCTGTCCTAGGTGGCATTGTGGCATTGTATACCGTAGCTATTCAATATCATTTCTGATTGAGTTTAAATTAGTATTATTTACAAACCGTCATTCTCTCATACCTACATAGGTAGTATCTGAATATTACTAATAATATCCAGTGAATCCGATAATTTTCACAAGGAAAAATTTCCCAATATACATTTTCTACTAAAAATACTATGCACATTACCTGTTTCAACATCCACTCCCGAGAGAACGTTTTCTTGTCTCAAAAGATTGAAATCTTATCTACGAAACACAATAACTGCGGTATTTTCTGAATATTAAAATAAAAATGTATATCAATTTTTTTAACATTTTTTTGGTTTTAGACTCGACTTAATCGCTTAGCTATGTTAGCTGTTCATAAAGAAATTCCACTAACAGCAGAAGAAGTTTTAAATGAATTGAGCAAAAAATCAAGAAAACTAGATTTTGTTCTTTCATTTTAGAATGTATAGGTATTGTATATGAGTATAATAGTACCTATACCTATTATATTAGCAATATAATATTTAAATCTATAAATTGAATTTGTTGTTAATAAAAAAATAGTCGTTAGGTAAAATACTAGCTCCTTCAATTTTAGTTAAAATAGTTCATACTGTAACCAAAAATTTTCTAAACATATAAACACTTTTAGATTCTGAACGATGAATGTATTGATTTTACAATGATGTGTGTTTTTTTTTATTTATTTTTGTGTCTGTGTACACGATGAGTAGTCGAAATAATGCTTCGATTTTCAACTTCAGTATCTTGTTCGATTAGAAAGTGAATCTAGTTGGTGTATTCGGGAGGTTAAATTTTAAAATTCCCAATAGTTTTAACAAGCGCCGGGATTAAACACATAAAAATTAAGGAATAACGGGAATTTTTACGCAAAATCTGTTTTCCAAAAAACCGATTTTGGTTTTTGGTGTAACTCTAAAACAAATCAACGTATATACATGAATTTTTCACTGGTTGTTTATATTTGAATTTTCTATACACGATAAAATTTTGAAAATATTATGATTTATTTTGAACTGTTTAGGGACATTTTAATTTTCCATTTTTTTTTAGTTTTTATTCTAAAAATATCAATAAAATTTTATTTGTTGGTTTCGAAAGCTTGAAAATTTAATAGAAGGCTCCTAGTATATTGTTTTAAAGGCAGATAAAAATCCTTAGTCACAATTTTTTTTTATAAGCATTTAAAGTTCAAAAATCAACAAAATATGGAAAAATCACGAAAATTAGCAAATTATTTTGAGTTAAGAATTCGTAAAAATGTTTCTTTTTAAATCTAAGATTTGAAAATCTTAGATTACTCATAAGTTTTTCTACCTTTGTATTGTATACACATTGTGCACCCAATCACCATGACATTTTAAAATGCAATTTTTTCGGAAAAAATAATTTAACCTGCTGTAGTACCTACCTACTAATGTTTAATAGTAAAATAAATTACTTTAATAACAATAATTACATATAATACAAGTAGGTACACTTAGTAATATTTTAGGGTGACATATCGTCTTCGCTCAGCATTGTTTTTCCTATACCATTCCTATAGCATTTAATTAAAATTGTACATATCCATTAATACAGTGATTCCATTATACACGAGCGTTGCACTTATATTATTATAATACCTATGTAAAAGTTATGCATCACACCAGTCTGCAGTCACTGCACTAAACTCATTGTACAAATATACAATATATTTATATTCATATTACACACAATAATATGTATATAATAGGTACCTATAGGCTATAAGGTACTATTAAAAAAATATTGCATTCGACCTTCGAGTGCTTTCCTATAATAAATAATTTTAGATTTTGTTTCTTTTAAAATCTAAAACGATTATTTTTTATGGACCTCGTAACTGTACAGCGTATCATTAAAAGAAAATAATATTCGGTATATATACATTACCTACACGATTTCATCTCATTTAATATTGATTATAAGCTAATTTTATATTGTATTTTAAATAGTATTTTTCTGTACACGCAGAGTCGATATTAATGATCATGTATTCGATAGATATAAAAACAAAATATTTATAATTTATGGAGGTACCCATATAATATGTTAAACTGTCACGACATAATATTTGTTAGCATTGTATATTACTGATTAAGTTATAAATGTATCTAAATTGATATTATTTGAATTAAAAAATGAATATTTTACTAATTCCTTACGCTTTTGATCCCGAGCAATGATATCAATATTCATATCGATCATTAAAAGGTTGGCTGTACAATTTATACGTTTAATCTATACATATTATTATGTTTTTTTAAAGCTTGATTTACCCTTATTTACTTTGCACCCCTGGTCATAGGCGCCCGCAGACATTTTTCTAGGGAAGGGGGGCAATGTTTGGATTTGACGAGAAATATTTTAATTTTAATAGGTATTTTAAAATAATAACCTTTTTTATTATACTCGTATACAATATATTATATTTTATTATAAGTATAGTTGTATTTAAAATGTATAGGCGTATTATTAATTCTCAAAAATAAATTGTTATGGTCAAGCATCTCTTCCGAAACGATCAACGATTTCTTCATAAAATTTGTTATCATTAATTACGTCAATTATCGTTGATTTATGTACATTCATAATACATAAAGCATTGAGTTTTTCGTTATAGTCATGGTAGAGCGTAACCAGGTTTGAAAACTCCGCAAAGTGCTGAAGGACCGTCAAAAATACTGATGGGTAGAATATTTCCTATTCTTTCAGTATATCTAGTATATACTTGAGCGATTGTGGTAATCATACCAAATTATTGATTCAGCTGCAAAGTTGCCTAGAAAAGAGCTATACTTTTTTGAAATTTTTTCAGTAAGTGTAATTTTTCAGTAGGTAATTGATTTTCATCGAGCTTGCTCATATAATCTGGTAATAATTGAAAAATAGAATAAGGTACTTCATTTTCTTCTGAAAATCGATATTTTATGATAGAGAACATTATGTAGAAAGTTATTTAGTTATAGAAAGGCCTGATCTAAAAATACAATTATCAATCGACTGCAAAATATAATCTAATCTAATGTTCTTATAATGGTAACCTATTATTCATATAAACACTTTAATTTTGTTGTATAGTATATAGTAATTTATCTTAAGACATTCAATTTACAAAAGTTATTTTAAAAAATCCTGAGTGGCAAATGCACCAGCTTGCCCCCCGCGGACGCCTATGCCTATAGTTATTTTAAAAAGGGATTATTTTGTACATTGTTTATATTGATATACCTATCTTTTATGGATACCAAATATGAAAGGTAGGTACTTTAATATAGTTAGTTACAGTCATGCCCCATAATAGGTCAAGCGTTGAACTTATATTTAACAATCTATACTCCAAAGTATTGAAATACCTAATATATAAATTATAAATATTATATTGTCACTTCCCTATAGTATTCATTCATAAATTATGGTTTCATATATTCGTTAAACGTTTTGAACTGATCTTTTTATTTTAATATAGGTACATAATATAATTGTACATTGTACCTACCATTCGGCATTTCTAAAATAGAAATCACAATCATTTTACGAAAATCACACTGAAAAACAGTAAAATAGTCTAATAAATGGTACCTAATGCACGGAATGCCTTGAACGGCTTGTACAATACTAGGATTTAGGGTTGTGATTAATAATAGGTTGTGTGTAAAAATACTAAATAAGTACACAATAAAATATTCGACAAATTGCATCTTATCTTGGATTTTATATTGATACCTACATAGGTACTTTTATGAATGTTGTGTTTAACTTTCCCCGTGAAACTATTCAATCTTTTGTCGAGTACTGTACCACAGGATTTTATTTATGTATACAAAATGTATGTTGTATGTATCTAAGCTAAATATATGCAAAAACATGCAAAATAAAAATAGTACATAGCATTTTTATCAGAATATTATAAATTGTGGACATTACTCACTAAAACTCCATCATTTGAATTTTGGACATTACGCTGTTGCCCTGAATATAACATTTATATTTGACAAAAAAAAAATGATTGAAATTTGTAAACGTAATTATAGATACTTATACAATAAGCAAAAATAATTAATTACCACATAACAAAAGATATCCATTAACAAAATATAATAAATATAAATATATATAAAACATAACGTAATTTATAGAATATCACCAAACGAAAAATAACTCAAAACGAATTAATTTATAATTTTTATAAATATAAATTATATATTTAAACAAAAAGTACCTAACAATTTTAGTTAAGTTGTTGTAATTTAAAAATATTATTGTGAAGGCCAGTAATAGTAATCGTACCTACTTGAAACTTTTAAAGTATAGATCTTACACATACAAATACGCAAAGCTTTTTTCATTTTTCAAATGCAATGTTTCTGCAAAAACTAATTTAACCTATTCACTATTGTAGTATTAATGTATAATATTAAAATAAATTACTTTATTTATAATTATATAATAAAATATATTTAGGTATTAATATTTACGCTGACAGAAAGTGTTTGCTCATACCCATATAGGCCATGATATATCTTATCACACGTGCATGAACGTAAGGGGTCTTATAATAAAATAATGATAAAAGCCCTTGCTAGAGTGAGAAGCACTACCTATATAAAAGCAGTCTGTACTAGCAAGTCACTGTACTTCTGTATTTACCTGCAAATACCTACTATATATCATAACATTTGTCCACTTATTTGTTTTTGTTTGTATTGTAATCATTGGTGATAAAATTGAAATTATTAATTTTTATATACATTACCTACTTTTTATATTTAAAGTGACCGGATTCTTATAGTTATTTTGTGAAGTTACACAATTTTTGACATTTTATGGAGTACAATATTTATTTTCATATAATATATTATATGTAGTAACTTATCTTCAGCGAGACGCCACAAAAAGCGCTTAACACAGATATTTTATGAGACAATAATTTTTTTTTAATTTGCCACATGTTCTTATCACAATTAATAAATATTAAAAATGCACAGGTTATAGTAACTTTGTTTTTAGGAAATAATTGTTATAATAATATGTGTAATAGAAAGGTATATAGGTATAGGTAACTTAAGTATATGAACTACGATATAATTTTTAGCAACTAAATAATTTGTAAATTTTTTACAAATCAATACATTCATCGCTTCGCTCGGAATCTAAAATTAAAATTTTGGATTTATGGACTACGGAAAAACTCCAAAAATCCCAAAATGCTCAAAAAATGGATAAATGACTTTAAGAGGACGTCACAACTGCATGTTTTGTCTGATTAGCCTAATAAATAACCCCGAAAAAATAACCTTATAATAAAAATGATTTGTAAGGTGTACCAGGTAAGTACCTAATAATTAATAATTTAAAACAAATCGTCAATCTTTTAAATCACGGTAAATAATAATATGTAAAAAAAATATATAATACC